TGGGGAGTGGAGCGTGTTTTCTGTTGCCGTGTTGATTACTTTGTTAATCAAATGTCTTAATTAGAAATAGGAACCTGGGAGAGTCCTGAAGTGAGCGGTGTTCAGCCACTGCCTAGGACGTTTCACACATCCTCAGCAGCTATAGGAGACTGTCTGTATGTGTTTGGAGGGGGAGATAAAGGAGCAGAACCCGTTACAGACCAGCAGCTTCACGTATTTGACACAGGTACCTCGAGATGCATGAAGGGCCGTTAAGCCAAACGGTGGACTCTGTCCTCTGTTGAATGGGCGGTGTGCATTTCAGATTCTATCAAAGACGTGGAAGTGTTGGGCCCCTGCTTTGGCTATGAGTTTAAATGGATGGGTGGATGTTCCTCTCTGTTGACATGCACTTATCTTCATGTGGTCACTGGGAATTTGGGCCAAAATGGCAGTGTAAAGCTCTGGGATGAGGAATGCTGTGGGAGTGGTTTGTTACATTTGCCCAACAGCTGATTCCTTTCCGTGGTGGCATCATCCTGTGCTGCTCACATAGTATCAGAGTTGTCCCATTCATTCTTACGGCCCTGTGGACACCAGAAAGGGTTTCTTTCCAGTTTGAATTAATCTGTCCTGCTACAGGGTGACCCAAACAGCACAGAGAGCTCTGTCAGAGGGCTTGCCTGTGCTTTATGATATGGCATTAACTCTTCTCTGACCCCACTGGAAGCACTTCCTTAGGAAGCCTCAGCAGGGCTCTGGGGTCACCGGTTTGTAGAGCTTCCGGAGTTCCCTTCCTAATGCACATGTACTCCCATTTTTAGCCACCTTGACCTGGTCCCAGCCAGATACTCACGGTGATCCACCCTCTCCTCGGCATGGACACATCGTGGTTGCAGTTGGGACCAAACTCTTCATACATGGAGGTTTAGCTGGTGATATTTTTTACAATGATCTGTTCTGCATTGATATAAGTAAGTATGGATATAGGTACTGTAGAGCAATAGCTGTTGTGTGATGTGTTTTGATTTTGGGGAACCTTATTCTAAAAGATCAATTCATAAGTGCTTAAAATATTACCGTATTTGTTTAAAGCACAAAACTTTTTTATAATGCATAACCATAGACATGTTCTTGTTCAACAGATGACATGAGATGGGTTAAGATACCAGCCACAGGTGACATCCCAGGAGGACGGGCATCCCACTCATCAGCTGTGTTTAAAGACCACTTGTACATTTTTGGTGGAATAGGTCCAGATGGGACACTAGATACTACGTACAAGTATCACATAGGTAGGGAGACTTCTCTCAGCTGTGTAATGGTAAATGCCAGTCTGTTGGAAAACGCATTACCCCCCAGCTCCTGCGCTTTGGCCTCCTAGTAGTCAGTGTCATTGCACTGGGGTTACACCAGTACAAGGCTAAACGCTGAAATGCTCTGTAATGTTGAAAATTAGTCTAATGAATGTCTCTGTCCCAGCATGCTTTTTAAGCCTATGAAGCCACATTTGAAGATGTGAATGTGTATCTTTGCACTGCAGAGAAGCAGCAGTGGATGCTCCTACAGTTCGATTCCCCTCTGCCCCCTGGGAGGCTGGACCACGCCATGTGCGTCATTCCCTGGCGGGCCGGCAGGAGCAGAGACACAGGAGCTGTTGCCTGGGAAGACAAAGCTGGGAAGGAGTCAACTGTGTCAGCAGGTGACGAAGCCAGCCCCCTCCACAACAGCCAGGATGAGGAGTGTGCTGAAGATGCAGTTGTGCATCTTCTGTTAATATTTGGTGGGATGGACACACAGGGGGAAATATACAGGGACTGTGTCGTTAGTCTGATTGACTAGCAAAGCTGTGGTCCTGCACAGCACCACCCTTTCCTACACAGTTTTTATAGTACTATCAGATTAAGTTAATTCTTCTTTCCAATAAAGAAATTCTTACCTTCAAACAGATGGCACTGTGCTAATGCACCTGAGGTACGGGTGCTGTCTCTGCTGGCAGTCCTGCTGACTAGGTACCGCATTCCCTGGGGCAGGTGGCTGCTGCTGTCACTTGACCATTGGAATGTGAGAGCCTGGCATGGTTTGCGCTGTGTCTGATCAGCTTTCCACCAGAAGAAACTCACCTACTGTTGGCTACAGAAACACTTCTATCTTCAAAGCCACAGCATTACCTGGAAACCAAGGGGTTTTGGGGAATGATTCGAGTTTTAGCTTTCATTTTTTTGAAAATGAGTGAATGAATGAAAACAAGAAAAAAAAGTGTCTCCCACACCAGGAAAAACATAAAGTGCTAAGTGGTTTTGAGGATGTATTAGAGCAGGCACAAAAGCTCCTTCTGTACTTGGTTCAACTTCTTATCTAATCCCATGGATTGGATAAGGATCATGGTCAAGTAAGACTGTGTTCCAATTAGGCTTTTTCCTTTAAAGAAAATTTATTAGGTGTTGACTAGTTTTCAGTATTCAGAAAACTGGTCCATTGTCTCATGCGAGACTCTAGTAAAGCTCCTAAAAATAGTTTTAATACTGCAGGAAATTGTGTTTGTTAGTTAAGCTAGTCTCCTCTCCCCCACATGCTTTGCATTTAAGTTTGCATCATCACTCTGATGCAGGCGAGTAGCTCCGATTGATAACCCACCTCTCCAGCAAGCAGCTTGCAGGCTCTAGTGAAGCTGCACAAGGGGAGACCACTTCAGCCATTATTCAGGTTGACTCCCCCCACTTCCTTATAAAGATCTATTACATCATAAACCTCACTACAGTTCCCAGTACACCAGCACACTTCAGAAACAGGGTGTAGTGCTTGTCAGGGGTTCCCATCCAACCGAGAGCAAGGGGTGCCAAACTTCTGGAGCTGTTTGCACAACCTGTTCCCCACCCCGAGAACAGGCTGCTGAGCCCAGAGCAGGCAAGGGGCAGAGCTGTGTCGGCAAACGGGCCCAGGTCACATTCCCTTCGGAGGCCTCCCCTGCACTCAGCGAGGCTCGCTGGTGCCGAGCAGTAGACCCCGGGCTGTTGCCATTGCTTACCTTGAAGGGGTCCCATGCCGATGGTTGGTCTGAATCCTACCGTTTAGGCATAATCCGCATCCTGGTTAAAACTAGCTGCTGTAACTAGGTAATGGAAAACACAAACTAGAACCAAGTCCAGTGTAAATAACAAATTTATTGTGGTCACTTCAGGTAGAAAAGTTCTACACCAAATTCACATGACCGAGTTGTTAAATAGAGCGCTTTCCACTGCCAATACTTCTAAACCCATTTCGCATTTACACTCCCCCCCGCTACCCCTCCCTCCCCAGACATCGAGCAACTGCTAACGAAAAGCAGTATACAGCCACTTTGGGCTAGCGTTTCCAGCTCCACTCACGAGTGAAGATTCAAAGTTACATTCCAAATTAAGAGTTCAATATTTTAAACAAGTGTTCCTGAGTCCAATATATACACACACAACATTCAGAGATGCCACTATCTACAACTCATCCTTCTCTGCTGCTTCCTCTTCACCTGGCGGAGGGCCTGCACTTCCGTAGAGCTTGCTAACAATGGGCTGAACAACTTCCTCCAGCTCCTTCTTTTTTGCTTTGAAGTCTTCAATGTCTGCGTCTTGATGGCTTTCGAGCCACTCAATCTTTTCCTCTACTGCTTTCTCTATTGTTTCTTTGTCTTCAGATGACAGCTTACCACCCAACTTCTCTTTGTCCCCAATCTGATTCTTCAGAGAATAGGCATAGCTTTCCAGCTCATTCCGGGCATCAATGCGTTCTTTAAGCTTCTTGTCTTCCTCAGCAAACTTCTCAGCATCATTAACCATCCTCTCAATCTCTTCGGGCGTCAGCCGATTCTGATCATTTGTAATTGTGATCTTGTTTTTGTTCCCAGTGCCCTTGTCTTCAGCTGTGACACGGAGGATTCCGTTGACATCTATTTCAAAGGTAACTTCAATCTGGGGGACACCACGAGGGGCAGGAGGGATTCCCGTGAGATCAAAAGTTCCCAGAAGATGATTGTCCCTGGTGAGGGGACGCTCACCTAGAAGACACAATTAGATACGGTTTCCATCTTTCCTAGCTGTGGTTTGTACTTTGTGAAAACCACGAGCTACACTAATTTTTAAAGGTGAGGTTTTAATTTCAACCTGACATCTGTCTAGACACCTCCTACAGGACCACCTCTTACTCTGAAGAGCTCTCCAGAATAGAACCATGGAAAAAGATACATTTGAAAACAATTCTAGTAACAGCTTTTGATGCAGGTCAAGAAGCTGGATCAGAGCAGCTTCAGAAAGCTAGCACTGTTACCAAGCTCTTCTTCATAAGGAGATATCCATAACCATCTAGAACTCTCTACAGCCTTTGTGATAAGACAGTAGCAAGTATTGAAGTCCTATAGACATATTCCAGCTGTCAACATGGTCCACCACAGGCGACGCTTACCTTCATAGACCTTGATTGTCACAGTTGGCTGATTGTCAGAAGCTGTGGAGAAGATCTGAGACTTCTTTGTGGGGACAACAGTATTTCTTGGGATCAGTTTAGTCATTACACCTCCGACAGTCTCAATGCCAAGTGTCAGAGGACAGACATCAAGCAACACCAAGTCACCTGTAACAGATCAGGGGCAAGACTGACATGACTTCAACCCAGAAGAAACGCAACATCTCATCACACCAAACAGGGTCCTGAGGCCTCAGAGGCACAAAACTTCTTAAGGACTGGAAAAGAAGTTCTACTACATTTGTCAATAACTAATATCCACTATTCAGAGTCAACATGGTCTTGAAGTGACAGGGAAGGTGTCATTACCTGTATCTTGGTCCCCAGAGAGAACGCCAGCCTGGACAGCCGCACCATAGGCTACAGCCTCGTCTGGGTTAATGCCACGAGAAGGCTCTTTCCCATTGAAGAACTCTTTAACTAGTTGCTGTATTTTGGGGATGCGAGTAGAGCCACCAACAAGAACAATCTCATCAATGTCAGACTTCTTTAGGTCAGAATCTTCCAGAACTTTCTGAACAGGCTTCATAGTGGAACGGAACAGGTCCTAGGAAGACAAAAAAAGCCCAGGGCTGTAATACTGTATTCCCACGTGCCTAGCCTCTGAATTATGCGGCCTTAGGGTACAAAGGACAACCACTACAGAGGAGGAACATCAACTGGCTTATGACCAGCCTTGATGAGACCTCAGCTGTCACCAACACACACACAGCCCCAGCTACCCTGGCAAGGAGCAGCTGCCTGCTTTTTAGCACAAGCAGGAAGTTATTTATACCCCAAAGGGCAGTGTCACAGCATGAAATTACTGCATATTCACAAGTCTCCAATCTAGAGCTGAGGCAATGTAACTTTACCTTCCTCAACTTACCATGTTCAGCTCCTCAAACTTGGCTCGAGTAAGTGTCTCTGAGAAATCCTCTCCTTCAAAGAAGGATTCTATTTCAATTCTAGCCTGGTGCTGAGATGACAAGGCTCGCTTTGCTTTCTCCACTTCCCGTCTTAACTTCTGCACAGCTCTGTTATCCTTCCTGACATCTTTTCCAGTTTTCTTCTTGTAGAGTTTGATGAAGTGTTCCATAACACGTTGGTCAAAGTCTTCTCCACCCAGGTGAGTGTCACCATTAGTAGCCACAACTTCAAAGACTCCATTGTCAATTGTGAGGAGGGAGACATCAAAAGTTCCACCACCCAAGTCAAACACGAGGATGTTCTTCTCACCCTCTCTCTTGTCCAATCCATAAGCAATGGCAGCAGCTGTGCTGTATAGGGAACAGCCCATTCAGAAAACTGGGACCACCACCCACCACCTCCCCAGCAGGCAGGATAGGTTAGGCTACTTACGGCTCATTAATAATTCTCATCACATTCAACCCAGCAATAGTACCAGCATCTTTCGTAGCCTGACGCTGAGCATCATTGAAGTAGGCTGGCACGGTAACAACAGCATGGGTAACCTGAATAAGGAGTAAGAGACACAATTTTGTTACAGAAATGAAAAAAAAAAAGCACATAGCTTGTAAATAACCATAGCAATACTGGTAACAAGTACTTCATTGTTCTTTAAAGAGATGTAAAAACCCACCATCAGCTGCGCCCATTCAACAGGGCTGCCACAGGGGCCAGCACAGGGAACAGAGTTTAGGATTGCAAGGTTAGTCCACAGATTCACAGATCTTTAGTTTTGTAAAGCTGCTGCTTTAAGTTCTTTCTAGCAGCACTCATAAACTTACTTTTTTCCCCAAGTAAGCCTCTGCAGTTTCCTTCATCTTTGTCAGGACCATAGCAGAAATTTCTTCAGGAGCAAATGTTTTTGTCTGTCCACCTCCAACATCAACTTGAATATGGGGCTTGGCTTTCTTTTCAACAACCTGAAAAGAACAACGTATGCTGTTCTATTCCAACAGTTCCTAGAATTATTCCCACTTGTCCGAGTGTTTCTTTCTCTCTGAAGATTAAGCAAATCCTCTATATAACAAGACATAATTTGAACGCTAGCTAACACAAGGAACTGTTGTCTATACACCATAGCCACATCACTGCACCCTAACCCTCTGCAGGGTTGCTCAAAAGGGCGCCATGATTCAGTAGCCTCGCCTTTCTCAGGCGAGAGGAAGGCAGGCAGCATCCGCAGCCCACTCTTCTGACCGGACACGTAGGCCCCCCCCTCCCGCC